AACTCCGGGCAGGTATAAAAGCCAGCTCTGTAATGACAGCAACAGTGTTGGGCTTTCTTCTAACAATCTGGAGTCAGGACAACTGGGGGGGGGGCAGCGGGACAGGAGGAAGGCATTGGGATAGGAGGGGTAGTGTCACAGAAAGGGGGCAGCAGGATGGATGAGGGGGGTGTCATAGGAGTGGGGGACAGCGTCACAGAAGGGGGGCAGCAGGATGGGGGGGGCAGCGTCACATGAGGGTGGGTGTCCCAGGAGTGGGGGGGGCAGCGTCACAGAAGGGGGCAGCAGAACAAGCAGGGGACAGCGTCACACGAGGGGGCCATCAGGATAGGTGGACAGTGTCACAGGAGTGGGGCACCGAGACAGGTTGGGGGACAGCGTCACAGGTGAAGAGTAGCAGGACAGGTGGGGTGCAGTGAAACGGGCGAGCAGAAGGACAGGTGGAGGGCAGCGTCACCCATGGGGGCAGTGGGACAGCTCTCGCCTGTCCAGCTGAAGGTGGAGCTGTCCGTTATCGCACAGATGGCGGGACTTGGTGGCACTGGTGACTCTGCTCCTCTGGTAGGGAGCACTGCCGCAGTTGAATGCAGCATTGATGTGCTCCGTGTTGTGGACGGGACGGTCTGTGCGGGAGACCGTGTCCTTTGCTCCATGTTTTCCACCTGGGCTCTGTGCACAGGGAGGGATGGGGTAGACTCTGGGGGAATGCCGGGTTCCACTCTGGGGCGGGGGAGAGGTGCCGGCTGAGGACGTGGGGTGGTGGGACAACAGAGCAGTGTGGACTGACCGGGGCCCAGGTGCCAGGATGCGGTTTCTGGCACCTGGGAATTGTCGAGGCCTGGTCTATGAAGCCCCTGAATTCTTGCAGGTGGTATAGCTGCCGATTTGTCTTGGCAAAATGCATCCAGGTCATGCAAAGTCTTTGGTCATTTGGCTTGATGATATGAAGGTCAGGAGACTGTGATTGCCACTCCAGAACCTTCACCTTTTTCTGCTGTAACCACTGGAGGGTCAACTTGGTCATTGTTGTTCTGGAAAGTCCAAGAGCGTCCTATATGCACCTTTTGTGCAGAAGAATGCAAATTGTCTGCCAGTATTTTCTGATCACATGCTGCATTCATCTTGTCATTAATTTTCACAAGATTCCCCGTGCCTTTACAGCTCCCCCTCCCCCAAACATCAGTGAGCCACCATGCTTCACAGTGGGGATGGTATCCTTGTTGCTATAGGCTTTGTTGATCTTTGTCAAAACAGCGCTGGTTGTGACCATAAAGCTGTATTTTGGTCTCGTCACTCCAGATTACATTGTGCCACGAGCTGTGAGGCCTGTCGAGGTGTTGTCAGGCATATTGTAACCGGGTTTTTTTTTGTGGCATTGGCACAGTAAAGGCTTCTTTCTGGCAACTCGACCATGCAGCTCATTTTTGCTCAGGTATTGGGCACTTCCCCTCCCCTCTGAAGCATGCACACATCACCCCCATACTTAAAAAGCCCTCCCTGGACCCCAATGACCCGAACAACCTCAGACCCATCTCCCTGCTCCCATTCACATCCAAACTCCTCGAGCGTCTAATCTACACCTGCCTAAGCTCTCGCCTCAACGACAACAACCTCCTCGATCCCCTACAGTCCGGCTTCCGTCCCCTACACTCCACCGAAACCGCCTTACTCAAACTCTCCAACGACCTGCTAACCGCCACAGCTAATGGCCACTATTCAGTGCTCCTACTCCTTGACCTCTCCGTGGCCTTCAACACAGTCGACCACCCCCCCTCCTCCTCAAAAAACTACACTCCCTCGGCCTCAGAGATTCTGCTCTCTCCTGGCTCTCATCCTACCTGTCACAACGCTCTTTCAGCGTTACCTATAATGCTACCACCTCCCCCTCACTCCCCTTCTCTGTTGGGGTCCCTCAAGGCTCCGTCCTCGGGCCCCTTCTCTTCTCCATCTACACCTCCTCCCTTGGCCAACTCATACACTCTCACGGCTTCAACTACCACTTATATGCCGACGACACACAAATCTATCTCTCAACCCCCCACCTCACCCCCTTGGTCTCAGCCCAAATCACACACCTGCTGAGCGACATATCAGACTGGATGTCGCTCCACTTCCTTAAATTGAACCTCTCCAAAACCGAGTTTCTTGTCTTTCCCCCCAGCCCGCACACCACCCCCCATTGACTTCTCCATCATGTCCAACAACGCTACCATCAAACCCGCCCCGCAGGCCAGAGTACTTGGTGTCATTCTGGACTCCAACCTATCCTTCCAGTCCCAAGTCCAATCTTTAACAAACTCGTGCAGACTCCACCTCCGCAACATTGCCAAAATCCGCACGTTCCTAACCCCAGAAACCACTAAACAGCTCATCCACTCCCTCATCATATCACGACTCGACTACTGCAACTCCCTCCTTACTGGCCTGCCTTGCCGCTGGCTATCCCCGCTTCAGTCGATCCTGAATACGGCTGCCAGACTCATTCACCTTTCCAACCGCTCCATCTCCGCCACCCCCCCTCTGCCAATCCTCCACTGGCTTCCGATTGCGCAACGGATCAAATTCAAAATCCTAACACTGACGTACAAAGCTGTCCACCATACTGCCCTGAACTACATCACTGACCTAATATCCAAGTACCACCCAGCACGCACACTCCGCTCCTCACAAGGCCTCCTTCTCTCTAGTTCCCTGGTCTCCTCCTCCCATGCCCCGCCTCCAGGACTTCCCCAGGGTGTCACCCATCCTCTGGAACTCCCTGCCCCAACCCATTTGATTATCACCTACTCTCCTCTCCTTTAGGCGCACCCTGAAAACCCACCTCTTCAGGGAAGCCTACCCCACCCCCTGCTAACTTGCTGACCTCCTCCACTCTTCCTACCACTCCATCCCCCACAGCTTTCTCCTCCTGTGCCACCATCCCCTTTGTCCTATATTGTAAGCTGGAAAGAGCAGGGCCCTCGATCCCCTCATATTTTGTATTGTATTGTTATTGTTCTGTCCCCCATTGTAATGTACAGCGCTGCGCGAACTATTGGCGCTTTATAAATACTGTATAATAATAATAATATAGTGCTTCTTGAAACAGCCACTCCGTCTTTTTCCAGAGCAGCCTGTATTTCTCCTGAGGTTTCCTGTGGGGTTTTCTTTGTATCCTGAACAATTCTTCTGGCAGTTGTGGCTGCAATCTTTTTTGCTCTACCTGTACTTGGTTTGGTATCAAGAGATCCCCGAATTTCCCACTTCTTAATAAGTGATTGAACAGTACTGACTGCCATATTAAAGGCCTTGGATATCTTTTTATATCCTTTTCCACCTTTATAAAGATCCATTACTTGTAATGCAGGTCTTTTGACAGTTTGCCAAAATTTCACGATTTCTGCCAGGGTATGTGAACTTCGCGGCCGATGCCCCTGGAAGCTGGAAATCGCTGCAGTAGACGCCACTACTTCACTGATCTCCACTTGCTTCTGGGTCCCATGCTGAGCAGCTGGCCTGTTGCAATCTGAACACAGGAGATGGACGCTCGGGTGCTATTCACAGAATGCTTTTGATGATTGGATGCGGCAAGGAGGTGCTGTTCTGCTCTCCACCTCATACAGTCAGAGAACACTTTGCATTCATTCAGAAAATTCAAAACATGATTTAAATGGATCTCATGCAAACCGGCACAATGCAGCATGGCAGCCATTTGGTGTGGGACTTGGAAGCAAGTGGAGATGACTGGAGTGCCAGTGTTTATCTCAGTCATTTCTGGCTTTGACGGGCAATGGCCAGGTATGGTATCTGCATAGGTCCAAACTTGAAATTATTTCTTGCTCTGTTATGCTGCTTCATTTTAACATCCTCCATGAGCTCCTGAACCTTTCCTATTCCCCTCACTTCCGTTTGGAAAGAGCAGTGCACATTAGTTGCTGTCTGGTACACTGCTCTGTGCATGCTACAGATCCCATAGTCCCTAGTCCATCTTGGGAACAAGCAGGAGAGGGTGGCTACGTTTCTTTAAATTTGGAGGGACCATGGAGAACAAACGTACCCACCCTGTAATGGAAAGTTGGCTCACAGCAGGAAAACAAAATGAAATTTGGATGAGGCTGAGCAAAAGAGAAGATATTTTTGGGTAAGAATGTATACTGAACCTTGCGTTCCCTATGGCCGCTCTCCCCGGGCCCTGCGTTCCCTGTGGCCGCTCTCCCCGGGCCCTGCGTTCCCTGTGGCCGCTCTCCCCGGGCCCTGCGTTCCCTGTGGCCGCTCTCCCCGGGCCCTGCGTTCCCTGTGGCCGCTCTCCCCGGGCCCTGCGTTCCCTGTGGCCGCTCTCCCCGGGCCCTGCGTTCCCTGTGGCCGCTCTCCCCGGGCCCTGCGTTCCCTGTGGCCGCTCCTCCCCGGGCCCTGCGTTCCCTGTGGCCGCTCTCCCCGGGCCCTGCGTTCCCTGTGGGCGCTCTCCCCGGGCCCTGCGTTCCCTGTGGCCGCTCTCCCCGGGCCCTGCGTTCCCTGTGGCCGCTCTCCCCGGGCCCTGCGTTCCCTGTGGCCGCTCTCCCCGGGCCCTGCGTTCCCTGTGGCCGCTCTCCCCGGGCCCTGCGTTCCCTGTGGCCGCTCTGGGCCCCGGCCCTGCGTTCCCTGTGGCCGCTCTCCCGGGCCCTGCGTTCCCTGTGGCCGCTCTCCCCGGGCCCTGCGTTCCCTGTGGCCGCTCTCCCCCGGGCCCTGCGTTCCCTGTGGCCGCTCTCCCCGGGCCCTGCGTTCCCTGTGGCCGCTCTCCCCGGGCCCTGCGTTCCCTGTGGCCGCTCTCCCCGGGCCCTGCGTTCCCTGTGGCCGCTCTCCCCGGGCCCTGCGTTCCCTGTGGCCGCTCTCCCCGGGCCCTGCGTTCCCTGTGGCCGCTCTCCCCGGGCCCTGCGTTCCCTGTGGCCGCTCCCCCCCGGGCCCTGCGTTCCCTGTGGCCGCTCCCCCCCGGGCCCTGCGTTCACCATATGTGGTCTCACACAGAACATAGAAATGCAACTATCTTAGTAAATATAAACTGCTAAATACCTTTTCTCATCAGCAGTTAAAGCAGTCTTGTGACTTCAGCTGAACACTGGTTAAAGCTTGTAGGAGGCGTTTTCTTTCTGCTCTAAGAGGATGCAGAACCCCTGACCTCTGTCTGGGCAGTGCTGATTAGCCCTGTGTTGATCACATGCACTCTCCCAAGAAAAAAAAAAACCTCTCTAGCAATACATACTACACTGAGCATGCGCAGAAGGGCTACAGGATCAGTCTGTTTTGTCAGCGTGGACATTTGAACAAGAGGAAGGGCAGAGAAGACAGGATCAAACAGCCTTTTTACACAATGTTGAGGATTAACCCCTTAGGTTCCACAGTGAGTATAACAAGAATCCTTTACTGCATATACAGACTGATTTTACTGTTGTGGGTTTAGTAACACTTTAACATCACTGTTTTTTCCACTGCTGATTACTTTACCAACAACCAAAAAAAAAAAAATAGATTGTCCAATTTCTACTCCAATTCTGTAACTGCTTTTCATGTGCTGGATTCACTGAGAGTAGCGGGGGCCATTGTCTCCTGCTCCTATCAAATTCTGCGGGGAGGGAGCAGAGGGTGGGACCGAGTCACTGTGTGTATGTCTATGGATGCACACAGGCCCGGCTCGGGTGTGCGCCCATGTGAGTGCCACTATAGCACACAGCCTGCTGAGAGGACACTCAGAGAAGAGGAGGAACAGACTGCTCTGCAATACCATTGCGCAGAGCAGGAAAGTATAGCTTTTTTGTTTGTTTTAATTAAATAAGGTTTGCAATCACTTTAAGTCCTCATGTGCACAGAACACTTAAAAAACGCATTTTCTCTTGACAACAGCATGTTGACAGAAAAAACTCCTGACGCTTATCAGTGTCTAACGCTTTTACAAGCGTCTAAGTGCGTTTAGGTGTCAAGCATTTTTTCTGCCAAAACACTGCTGCTCCTGGACACACTGGCTCTGTTTTTTGTTTTGTTTTTTTTTATTTGCTGTTGGTAAACACTACTGCTGCTAAAATCTTCTGTCTGTGCATGGACACATAGGATAACATGAAGGTGTGACGGGAGTCACTTTGGTTAGGGAGCTCATGGAACCCAGCTCACTTTGCAGAGGTTGGGAGACCTCTGTCTCAGCTCTCCATTTCCCTCTTATGTGCAAGTCACCCTGTGTCTCTTAGGGGCACAGGGTGACTAATGGATGCTGAAAATGCGGTTGGAATTACTTGAGATGGGACAGTAATATTTATCGCCATCTGAAGACTATTCCTGGTTGTTGATTCTGAACGAGACATGTGAATTGAAAGAGCTGATCACGCTGGTCTCTCCTCTACTCCAGTGTAGGAGTCGGACTGTCTGCTCTGTAGTAAGATCCTAATTCATCAAACCATTGTCTAGGTGTGAATTCCCATTCACCTTTTGTTTGTCACCCAGCTAGCTAACCTAATTCACTTACTGTTTAGAGTGTTAAGTCTTTTTCTGTATAAAGCTGTGTTTGCATATGATCATGTGATCAGTCTCAGTGTGTATTGTATAAAAAGCTAATTTGAGTTTTCAGTAAAGAGTATCATATACAGACAGACTGGTGTCCTCTAGTCTTGTATGGTCGGCTGTGGTGTCTGTTTTTGGTGTTCGGACGGGAAAGCGGTATTCTAACAGAAGTACTCAAGCACAGTCTGGTTTGGTTCTGTTACAGAAGGGCTGTTTGAAGGCCATAAAAAAAAAAAAAAAAAAAAAAAAAAAAAAGCCTGATGCCTCTAAAAGTGGCTGCAAAAACAGCCTGTGTGTACGAGGCCTTAGGAGCTGTTCAGCATTTTTTTTCAGCAGCTCCTGAACTCGCCCTAATGTTTTCCTATGTGTCCATGTACACATCTTAATTTACAGTTGTTTACAGGCATTTGAGTTTACAGTCGTTTTTTTGAACGCAGAAAACTTGTGATCAGCAGTTGATTTTATAAGCGTTTCAAGCGCAAAACGTTTGTAAACGCGGTTTTAAACGCTTCCAGTCCCCGATCCTGTCCAGAGCCTTTTGTTCATCATTAAAAATGCATGCAAAGTGTTTTCAAGGTACTCAGATGGACAAAACACTGAACACAGGATGTTCCTACCAAGCTTGTCACAAATTGTCATGACCAGTTCACACCTCAGACCTCTCCCACCCGTGGAAACAAGATATGTTAATGAGCAACTCAAATCTAAGCTTATCTCAACACATACTGCTGTCTCTGCTTCTACTCTCTGTATTTCTCTGAAATAGTTAATAATTTACCACTTTTCAGTGCATTCTGGGCATTTGGGAGGTTCTCCTGTGCTTATCTATAAAAAATGCTTCTAAGCATAAACGCGGACAAACAGATGTTTTTTAACCTACGTTTTCCAGCAGTCAGTTTTCATCGTTCAGAAGTGTCCTGTGTACATGGGGCCTAAAGGTTAGTCATCAGTGGTTGGTGCCCTATAACTATTAGTGGCAAGTGGTCTTTTCCCCAACAATTATGGCCGCATGCACACCTTTCTCTGCACTTCTGTGAGCACTAACCCACAGTATGACGAAGGGTGTGTGTGTGTGTGTATGTGTGTGTGTGTGTGTATATATATATATATATATATGCATTGTCGTAAATTTGCAGTGCTACACCAACATACATGGTCATACAAGCACACTGGACTTGGCGCACTGCAGCACATGGAATAGAGCACATGCAAGGCATGCTCAGTTGTTTTGGCCTGTAGAAGCACACGGAGTGTCCTTTTGAAAATAATGGACTTTCTCAACACAGTGCTCATCAAATTGCCAAAAATGTGAGTCAGTGTATAATATAGTGTGAATGAGCCTTTTGTCTGGTGGCTGTTGTCTCCAAGTCAGCAAATGTTTGGGAAAAACATAATGGTACTGCTCTCTGCTTATGGGAAATCTTCCAATAGGAATGCATGTTCTGATGATTACTGTTTAGGAGGGGATTTTCCTTGTTGTGTCTCAGATTTGTTTGTATTTGTCTGGGTCATGCTTATGTTTCTGTGCACACAATGGTCTTTTTTTTTTTTTTTTTTTTTTTTGTATGTCTTTCCACGTTGTGACTGTTCTACTGATTGTTTTTTCACAGGTTGTGAATTAATCCAGAAGTGCATCTCCAGCCCACGGCCTGAACCCCCGCCCCCCGTGTCATCAGCCACATGGATTACCAGGGGATTAGCGCAAGGAGGGAGACGGACTAATAAGGGGAGGGGGCAAAGGGTTGCAAGACATTGTACGCTCCCCTCACTCTGGAGATTTGGAGGAGGGGAGGCTTTTCACCCTCATCAGCCCCCGAATTATTAGCAGCTGCCTACAAGCCCCTTTGATTTATCATGTCGGGGCTTATTTAATAGCTTCTGTAGAGCTGCCTGTTCCCCACATCTCATTTCAGACTCATTTCAAATACATTTCTCCCATTGCCTACAAGTGCTGCGTGGGGATATGCTGTACACCCTAGTTCCCTCCTCCCATCTCCACGATGCCTGCAGGAACTGTCAAGTCTTTCAAACCCAGCAAGTACATCCCTGTGACCGCAGCAACTGTGTTTCTGGTGGGCTCAACGACGCTCTTCTTCGCTTTTTACGTAAGTCTTAGAAGCTGCAGAGACCTTTCTTGAAGTCTGTAATTAAATTTTCTTTCCAGGTTTATATGATTCTTCACTTTTACAAGATGTTGTAAAGTGGTACGTAAACTGTTGGCGCTATATAAATCCTGTGTAATAATAATGATGTGTATAGTACACACGTTGTGCAGAGCAAAATGATTGCTGACCTTACCTTACAGGTGTACTAATGGAAACATAGAAACTGCTATTGCTGGCAGTCTTCTGGAAAAGCTAATTGGTTCTCTTGAAGTTCAGTTTTGATCATTGACTGATCAGTTATGTAGATCTGATTTAACATGCTGCACACTTATTTCGGGTTAGTCACTGAAAGAACAATGAAGCCGGATTATTGGCTTTGATAACCAGTCAACTAGTATTGTCAAAGAGGAGGCTACAAATGGCAGCCTTCATATTTCTTTCTTGATGAGTTTCTTTTAAAGTGACTTTGTCAGTTCAGGGTCTCTCTGTATGTTAACCACTTGCCCTCCAGAGGATTTACCCCCCCCCCCCCCCCCCCCCCCCTTCCTGACCAGGCCATTTTTTGCGATATGCCGCTGCGTTACTTTAACTGACAATTGCACGGTCATGCAATGCTGCTCCCGAATGAAATTCATGTTTCTTTTTTCCCCCACAAATGGTGGTTTTTGATCACTGTGCGTTCTTTTTTTGTTTTTTTTTTTTGCGCTGTAAACAAAAAAACCCGACAATTTTGAGAAAATAACAATATTTTTGACTTTTCGCTATTAAACATGTCCAGTAAAAAAATAAAAAAAAAAATCAAATGTCATCATAAATTTAGGCCAAAATGTATTCTGCTCCATGTCTTTGCTTAAAAAAAAAAAAAAAAAAATCCCAATACGTTAAATTAATTGGTTTACGTGAAAGTTGTAGCATCTACAGATGGTGGTATAGATACTGGATTTTTTTCTTGCTTATACTAGTAATGGCGGTGATCAGCGACTGACTGTCACTGACATTCCCAGTGACACTATTACAGTGATCAGTGCTGAAGCACTGACGTTGTACTCAGGGGCGTATTTACCACAAAGCAAACCAGGCATTTGCCTAGGATGGCATTTTTCAGGAGGGCAGCACCTCCCCTCAGACAAAGGGATGAAAGAAGGGACACGTGCACCATGGGAACCAGGTGAGATCCAAGAGGAACTGTTTGATGGTGTATGTAGAGCCTGACTTTCATTCCTGGGGATGTCTGGAGCTTTGAAGATGATGTCTGCTGTGTGCTATGCAAAGCAATACAAAGCAATGTTCAGGAGCTGATGGGGGGGAAAAAAAAAATCTCTATTTTCATACAGGTCTCTCCCCTGTCAGTGATACTCGGCGATCGCCGGATGCCGGCAGGGAATCACCGGCCGGGACCCGGTGAGTGACAGGTGAGGCCGCCAATGGTGGCGCAGGAAATGCTGACTCATATATATATTTTATATATCATATAAATTTTATTTTGCAGTTATGTGAGATGCAGTAGGAAAAACCACTGCGTGTGATGGGGGAAATGGGTATGCAACCATCCATCGGGGGGGGGGGAATCTCGACGGGTCGTCTCTTCCCTCCACTCAGATCGGCATTCACTGAGCTCTGCAGGGTGTAACTTCAGCTACATTTCCCTGGCTTTCTGGAAAATCAGAAAAGCTGTATACATTCTGGACTTTGAACAAATGTAGA